CCCCCCAGGCACCTTACCATTAGCTTCCTCTCACACAAGCTCCAAGGGCTCTTTCTTTACCTCTATAACTTGTTTCCTAAACTCATTTATTCTAGGAGTTACTTTTTTTTTTAATCTCTGTGATATACCAAATACATGTCCTCTTACAGTTTGGGCCTTGACTCTGAACTCTTTCCCAGCCAGAGCTCAAGTACCAAGATTGCTGAACCCAGGTCCAGTCTGACCCCGAGTGAGACAGACACCCGGTGCTGTCCCTGGCGGCCTACAACAGAAAGGCCTCCTCCTGTCTCTGCCCCCAGCCCACCTGGGGGCAGGTGGGGAGCACACTGTCCTCCTCTTTCTGGCCTGAAGACAGCCAAGGAAGAAGCCTGGCACCCACTCAGGTTCACACACTCCCTTCCTCCCAGATCTTAGGAGACCATCAGTTTGCAGACGGCCACACACCTCCGTAGAAAGGAGAGAAGGTGGACAATGGCAGCAAATCCCTGTCTGGTTCCCTCAGTGACAACTAGGGCAAGGCGGAGTAAAAGCCAATCTCAGATAGCCCAGAGCTAGCTGTATTCAAATGCAAAGACCCACCGAAGCTTAAAAGAAAAAAAAAGAATTGTGTGTGCTCTATGCAAGCTGTGAAGCAGCCTTGAAAAGCAGTACCTAGTCTGAGTCCCAGCTACCAGAGGGAGGGGCATTCTTAAACATGCTCAACCGCCCAAGAATATCTAAAAACTGAAAATAGTGCTTGCAGTGTCCCAGACCAGAGACCCCCTCTTCTTTTGAGACCCCTGCTTTTGAGGCTCCCTGTGGGCGTGATAGCAGGCGCGCAGCAGGCTTCTGAGGCCTCACGTCACTGTTGCCTCAGTTCAGTTCACTCAGGAACAGCGCATTGAGTATCAGCTGTGTGTTGGGCACTGGGGTAGGTTTGTTATAGACATTATTTAATGTGATATTTGAGTTACCTACCAGAGGTGGCAATGCTGTGATCTGTCAAACTCCATGCCCAGATCTGTGCAGCTCGCAAGAATCTTCCTGAAGACAAGCTTTGTTTTCCAAAGGACGGAGAATCCCAACATTTCCACTAGCCTGCTTTCCTATGTGTTGGCCAAGGTTCCAATACTTTGAGACAGTTCAATTGCTTGGCTGAATTCATTTAGAAACTATATAGGCCTGCTTATTGAGAGACATTCAGACTCTTCATCTGCTCTTGCCTTTGCTCAGCGTGAGCCTATCAGATTTATCGTAGAACCCATAATAATCCAGGCAGAAGCAGCTGACATTTTCTGAAATAGTGGAAATACCTCTAAGTTTCCCATAACTCAGGTCCTGCCTCCCAGAGCTCTTTAAGGGAGTCATTTAATACAATCAATGTCGTCTTTAAAAGGAAGATTCTAGGGGATATGAAAAGAACCCAGTGTTTCTCTGACTGGCGTATTTCACGTAGCATAATACTCTCTAGTTCCCTCCATGCTGTCCCAAAGGATAAAAGAATAAGCCAGTCAGAGAAAGACAGGTACCACATGATCTCGCTCATATATAGAATATAATAAACAAAATAAACTGATGAACAAAATAGATCCAGAAACATAGGAGCATGGAGCAGACTGAGGGATCTCGGAGACCAGGTGGGGATGGGGGAGTGGTGGGGAGAGATAAACCAAAGAACTTGTATGTATATAAGCATAACCCATGGACACAGACACTGGTCTGGGGAAGGCCTGGGGATGGGGTGGCTGTGGGGTGGAGGGGACCCATGGGGAAAAGGGGACAACTATAATATCAAAAATAAACAAAAAAAAGAGAAGCCAGTG